TACTGGCAAAAGGGCAATGGATTTCTGCAACCCCAAACCTAACCATTGGGTTAAGTCGAGACTCGCCATAGCTGTCTCCTGAGGGTGTCAAATACCTTAGTCAGGTGATTTTAGTTGTTTTCATTATTTAGCTCAATGCTTAATCCTGAGAAGACTAAACTGATGGTCTTTGGCAGTCGAAGAATGTCTCTTAAAGTTCCAGACTTTAAGTTGTCCCTGCTCGGAAAGGAAATTATCCCAGCTCAAACAGTCAAGGATTTTGGTGTTAATTTCGATCCCACACTATCCTTTCACAATCATATCTCTGCGACTGTCTCATCTTGCATGTCGAAACTATCCCAACTAAGTCGCATTAGATTCACCTCTAACAAAGATCTGCTTGAAACTATAATTAACGCCCTCGTTTTTAGTAAGATGTACTACTGTTCGTCAGTATGGTCTTCCACCGGAGCTTGTAATGTTCATAAGCTACAATATGTTCAAAATTTTGCCGCCCGCATTATTTGCAATGTAAAGAAGTACGATCATATTTCTTCCACGTTAAGGAATCTACGCTGACTACCGGTAAAATCAATCCTGTACTATCGTGACGCTACCTTATCACTGAAATGTAAAACGGGCCTAGCGCCTATATATTTGACATCCGAGCTTGTAACAAGAGGCAGCGTATCTGGGCGTGTAACGAGGAACTTTCAACAACTCAACATTCACCTTTTTAAAACTACAACAGGTCAGAGGATCTTTTATTATAGAACTGTAGCCATCTGGAATAAACTTGACTTAAGATTGAAACTATGTGAAAAACCAGCTTCTTTTAAAGTGCTTCTACGACGAAATTTTGATGTTGTGTTTGTCACAAAGATTCATTTATATCAGGTCATTAAGAAAGACTGTAACTTAATATTTCATTGAAATGAAGATTTTCACCCCACAAACTGGAAAAAATAAGCCCTGAAAAGTTGTTTTTTCGCGTCCGCCATCATGAATTTACGTTCCAGTGAGCCTGCGGGATAGAGCTGCGGCTACGCGCTTTTAGCTTATTGTCTTTTTGTCGTGACGTCATTTTCTTAACTTCTCATGTAGTAAATTTGCTATTCCTGCTCCTTTCTCACTAAAACAATGTCTCGTTTACCTTCACCTTTTCGAGCGTAAGTTGTTACAGTTACAGCGAAGAAAGTGAACCAGAGAGCTTTCCTGAAAAGCCGTTTCTCGAAATAGGCGGATACGATGACTAAGCCGGTTCCGACCGAAGAAGAAGCTGCATTGTATCTTGAGCAGCTTACCTTGGAAGAGGAGGAAAAGCAGATTTTACCTAGTAGTTTTTCCGGGGAGGAAGACATCTGAGATTGGTATGTATTCCGTGTTATGAAATACAAAAGCTTTCACAATACGAATCGAGAGAATAAAACTGATCGAATGTGTTTACTGAGTGTCTATAGTTCTACTTCAAAGCAAACCGCTTCGAATTTGCAAAGTTCCCCGTAAGCATAGAGATATCAACAAGACGATCCAAGAACGTAAGTCGGGCTATAGGTAGACGTGCAGTTATGCATAAAATGTTTTTTCATCCCTGAAAGACACCAATTCTACAACAACGAACTGTCACATATTTTTGGTGCAATACCCTAAAAGGTATCACAGGAGCTGCTGCTTTGGACCTTTTGAGGCTAAACAGCCTATGGGGTACCAAGCCCATCTTTTTTAACCCCCTAAAAGCTACAACGAGCACCCCAGTCCTTTTTACTTAAGGAGTCCCCCTTCCCAAGGGTGATAAGTACATG